CCCCCCCCCCACCCGGGGTCCATCCCTGGCCCCACCATGTCCCCTTCCCTGAGAAAGACCCAGTGCCGCAGCACCCAGCCCCAGTGCACCATGGCAGGGACACCCAGATGGGGGGACAACCTCTCACCCTCTCCTCCTCGAAGCTAATGAGGCCTTCGTCGTCAGTCTCCAGGTCCTCCTGCTCCTCCACCACAAGGGCCCGCAGCTCTGTGGGGGCAGCCCGGGGGCGCAGCAGGCTCAGCACACGCTCCAAGGGGGACTGCAGGGCACAGGTGGGGCTCGTTTCTTGCTGCTCCAAGTTGTCACTTTGCTTCTTGGCAAAATTCACAAATACCTGGGGGAGAAGGGGTAGGAGGCTGAGAGGGACCCCCACGAGTACCTCCACCCCCCAGCCACCCCTCGCCTGCCATCCAGGCCACTGGAGATGGGCCCCAGCACATTCCACCAGGCTGTGGCTGCCACCATGTCCCCCATCTAGCTCCACCTCATGTCCCGAAGGTAGTTTCTGCCAGGCACTTTTGCATGGCCACCCACCCCTGAGCACGGCCACCCTCCCTGGGGACAGGCATCCAGCCACCCACACCATCCCTGGTCTCACATTGTCCAGGGTGGTCTGGCTGACGGAGTAGTCTTCAATGCCCAGCACATCCACCACCTGCTCCATCTTGCTGAAGACCTGTGCCAGCGAGATCTGGTCCGACTTCAGCTGGTACTGGGCCTTGGTGTGGTGCCGCTCCTGTGGGGGACAGCGATGTGACACCTCACGCCCAGACCCTCTCCTGTCACCCTGTGGGGGGGTTCCACAGAGGTGTCCCTTGGGGGATGAAGGCTGCTTGTGCCCCGAGGTTGGGGATGGCAGGGGATGCCACGGCCACCACACGGAGCTCACCTTGAGGATGGCCTCGGGGAAGTTGCGGTTGAAGAACCTCACCACCTCCTTGATGTTGAGGCTGGACTTGGTGCGCACCGTGATCATGTAGCCATCTCCAAACCTGCACGGGGACAAGGGCACCCATGACGACCTGCCCCCTGTGTGCCCCTCTGTGGGGCAGGACTGACCCCACGGAAGGGGACGATGCTCTCCAGCAGCCGCTGCACCTGCCCGAGTGCGCCTGGCCCCTGCCCACCCTCCAAAGCAGCACACACACGAAGGGCTGGCATCTCGCTGCGGGTGCCACACCATCATCCTGCCATGGGGGCCCGGCCCCGTGCCCCACAGTGCATGCAGGTGCTGGATGCTGGGTGCTGGGCTCTTACCGGTTCTTCAGGTGCTGGATGCTGCCGAGACACTTGAGCCGCCCATTCACCATGATGGCCAGGCGGGTGCAGAGCGCCTCGCACTCCTCCATGCTGGGGAGACAGCGCAGGCTTCAGCAGGCAGCCATGGGGGGGACAGTGCCAGGGGCCACAGCCGGGGCAGGAGGGGAGCCAAGCTCCCCAGGCCACCACCCAGGTGCTGTGGCCCCACCACCAGGGATGGGAAGGCAACAGAGGGTGTCCCGGGCTGTCTCTGCTCCCCGCGCCCCTGCTGGGTGCCAGTCCCTGGGGATCAGAGCCCCCTCCCACCCATGCAGCACTCCAGGTGCCCAGAGGTATCACAGGAGCAGCCAGAACTCCCCCAGACCTGTGAGATGTCAGCACCACAGAGCGACCCGTTTTGATGACGTCCAGGATGAGGTTCCAGAGGAAGCGCCGTGCCTTGGGGTCCATCCCTGTGGTGGGCTCATCCTGGGGAGCAGAGAGCACCCTCAAGTGTGTCCACCCCTGGAGGAACCCTGCTGCCCCCATCCTGTCCTGAGCCCAGCTCAGGACACCATCTCACACCCCAGGAGACTCATGGCGGAGCTGGGGGCAGGCAGCTCCTACCCAGGGTCATTTCTCCACCAGCCAGCACCAGCCCCAGGGACCCAGGGGGTGGGAGGAGGACCCCACGGGCAGGGTGCTAGAGCCCAGGGCGCACCAGGAAGATGAAGGCCGGGTATCCAATCAGCGCGATGGCTGTGGACAGCTTCCTCTTGTTGCCTCCGCTGTAGGTGCTGGCAGGCTTGTCGGCATACTTGGTCAGCTCCAGCTTCTTCAGCGCCCACTTGACCACCTGCAAGGCGCAGGGGGCTGCCGTCACCCTGCCAAGGCCACGGGGCTGGCAGAGCTGGTAGCAGGCAGTGGGCAAGCAGTTGGGCTCTGTGGAACAGGCCCGTGGCCAAGGAGACCACAAGCAATGTGCCAGTCGTGGCCAGCCCCTGGCACGGCCATGAGCATCAGTGGGGGCCGGTGAGTGCATGTGCCCGGCCCCAGCAGCCCCCATGGGCGCGCCACTGGGGTGGCAGTGCCATGAGGGCAGCAGCACCAGCTCAGTCCCTGCTGGTGCCCAGTGACATGTCATTCCTGAGGCACAGCACCAGCCCTCGGGTGCTGGCAATCACCCACCCAGAGCCCTACCCGCTCCTCATCCTTCCAGGGGATGCCGCGCAGGCGGGTGTAGAGCTCCAGGTGCTCCTGGGCTGTCAGCTCATCAAAGAGCGCGTCGAACTGGGGGCAGTAGCCCAAGCTCTGCTGGACCTGCAGGAGCTCCTTCAGGATGCTGTGGGAGAGGACAGAGGGGCCATGGGGAGAAGGAATTGCTTTTTGGGAGCACCCTATTGCTCACCCCCCCTTTCACACGCCTTCATACTGGAGCATCATCTACCAGGTAACCCACAATGGGTAGCCTTGGCCGAGAGGCAGTGTCACCTACCCAGGACAAGGGCTGCAGAGTCCCCCAGAGCCACATGGGCAGACTCACGCTGCTCCGTCCTGGGATGTCCCCAAGCAGAACCCACCCCGTCCCCACCTCCCGGCCTGCCCATGGCCCCCGACCTGTGCCCGTTAACGAAGGCCTCTCCACCCGTGGTGCTCTCGTCCCCCGTCAGCATCTTGAAGGTGGTGGTCTTGCCCGCGCCATTGACACCCAGCAGCCCGAAGCACTCCCCGGGCCGCACACCCACACACAGCCGGTCCACAGCCAGGATGCGTCCAATCTTGCGGGACTTGTACACCTGGTGGGGCAGGGGATGGGGGCTCAGCCTGCTGGGAGGCACTTGGGACCCCCAGCCCCGACCCACATCCCTTGGATGGGACAGCTCCAAGGTGTTCCCTTGCAGCCCCAGCACCTCCACCACCACCGCCGCCCCGCTGCTGCACCTTGGTGAGATTTTCAATCTTCAGCATGTCATTGTCAGCATCGCCGCGCAGGACACGGTGCCGCTCGTTGGCCACATCGATGTCATCCTCGATAGGCTTGGTGGAGACGGGCAGCCGCCTGTGGGAGGGGACGCAGGGTAGGGTGGGGAGGCAGGCATGGAAGCTGCCTACCCGCATCCCCGCCAGGGATGGGCAGGTCCCAGCTTGCACCCACTGGAGGGGCAGCCTTGAGCTAAGGGGTCCTGATGGCAAAGCTTCTCCCCCAGCCTGCCCCCCGCCCCCCGGCCGCACTCACTGGGGCTTCCGGAAGAAGTTGTACTGGCACATAATGGTGATGAAGAAGCCGACGAAACCTTCGATTGTCATGGCAACAAGCCCCCGCGTCACGATGTCCCATTCGAAGGGTGATTTCATTTTGTCAAACTGCCCTGAGTGGGAGGAAGATTTGAGAGCGGCTGGGGACACTTTCCCGTGGGGACAACCTGGTTGTATGTCTCAAGCTGGCCTGCAACAATGGCACTGTCCTGCTCCTGGGTCCCCTCCCCGGCCACAGCTGCCTGGGCGGGTGGGTGCTGCTGGCACCAGGCTGCTCACAACAAGGCTTTCCATTCATAGCATGTGTGCTGGCGAAACCATCTTGCAACTTTTCAACCTCAGCAGGATAAATCAACCCAACTGAGCGTGGGTATGGAATGGATTTGTCAGATCCTGCCCCAAAACTGCCCTTCATGATGCCAGCAGCACCTGTATCATATACGGAAGCTGTGTGAGAAGCAGAGAGCAGCAAGAGCTTTTTGAGGCCAAGCTGAACCTGTGAGTAGCAAAAGGCTCATTTTGGCTGAGCAGCGCAGCCCCGCAAGCAAGAGACCATGTCCAGAAGGAAAGAGCCCTTGCTCCCATCCCTCGTATCACAGTATGGCCCCACCATGGCCCACCACAGCCCCACCATGGCCTCATCACAGCTCCACCACAGCCCCATCATGGCCCACCACAGCTCCACCACGGCCCACCATGGCCCCATCACAGCCCCACCATGGTTCCATGATGGCCCCACCACAGCCCCATCACAGGCAGTGTGTAACAGCAGCAGAAATGCAGAACTCGGTCAGGGCTCACAACCTCCTCTCCCTGCGGGGCTGGTGTTCAGGATGGCCCAAGGAGCTGTTTTCAGCATCACCGGCACCATGCCACAGCTGACCCTCAACCTGCACCCCAGCCTAGTTCACACACCCTGGCTTTTTGCTCCAGGTTGCTCTGGGCCTCGGGAAGATGGAAGGGATGTGCCAGCACCGAGGTCCTCCCCAGCCCCAGATGCCCTGGAGCAAGGGAAGGAAGGAACAAGAGGCCATACCGATCTTGGCATAATATTCATTGATGTACTCGTTGTAGGCCATCTCCATCAAGCCATGGCCCAGGTTGTAGTTAGGGAACACAAGGAAGCAGCTCTTCAGGTAGCTGTTCACCACCTTCAGATCCTGTGGGGACGGGCAGAGAGGACACAACTATCAGAAACACCCCCGAGGACCATGAGTGCATAGTAGGATCAGGAACCCCACCAAGATATAGCCCAGTCAAGTCTTGTAGCTGACCCTGCTGGGAGCAGGAGTCTGGAGCAGAGACCTCCTGAGGTCCCTCCCAGCCTGAGCTGTCCCACACCCTGATGGAAGCTTCTCCCTTCCCGATGGCCCCACGCAGAGCTGTCAATCCCATACCTTGTCATGCTCAAAGAGCTGCAGCAGGAACGTGGCAACAGTGGCCGTGATGCCAATGAAGAGATTGATGACGATGAGAAAGACGTAGGCAGAGCTGGGCACCTCGAACCAGAAGGAGGCGGGGTACATGATGGGGGTGATGGACCAGCTGGGAAGGCAAGTGGCAGGAGTGCACGTCAGGTCAGCGTAGCCGGAGAGAGACTGGGCAGCGGCAACTGTCAAGCTTTGAGATCGCCCATCTCCCAGCCCCATCCTCCACAGGCTCTCCCACCCCAGCCCTCGCAGCCCATCAGCTATGGGAGCTGCAGAACATCATCCAGATGGGCAGCCCCGAGGCCAGGTCCTGCTCACGTAGCCACGGCACAGCCATGGCATTGGAGGGACCCACCAGTGTATCCTGACCACCCTCTCTGAGCAACGTACCCGTAGAGCAAGAAGAGGGAGAGGACAGCGGGGAAGTTGGTGGGAGAGGTGTATGCTGGGAGGTCGAACACGAACAGGATGATGATGCAGCATGTGGCTGGCACCAGGTAATTCAGCTGGAGAAAACAGAAACTTCTGTAACTGCCCACCCACCCGCTGGGGGTGCCCCCCCCGGACTGGGGACTTGGCCAGTGGGGCCATGTGACCTTCTCACCATGTCCCACACATAGTTGGCCAACCAGTAGATGACAGGGTCACAGCCACTCACGAACTGCAGGTGTTTGGCCTTGGTGGCCTTTTCAGCCACGAGGAACACCACAAAGCTGGCAGGCACGAAGGACATGGCCACGATGATGAAAATGGCAATTACCACGTCTGTACCTTGCAGGCTGCATGGGGAGAAAGGAGGAGAGCAGAGACCCTGGTCACCCTCAGCTGCCTGGGGACGGAAACCTGTCCCGGCAGGGGACAGCTGCTGTGCACAGGGCAGGACACAGCACAGGGACCACCACCCCCCATCACAGCCAGCTGGTCCCCCTCATGCAGCCTGCAGGGCAGAAGCTTCAGCATTCTCCTGCAAATGCTCCCTCCCTGCCACAGGATGGCCACCCTCCCTCACACCCTCTCCCTGGACCTACAGGTAATCCAGGGACAGGCTGGCACTCGTCTTGTTCATGGGGTGGTTGGTGACCGTGATGCCTGCAGGAAAGCCCAAGAAGAAACATGGGAGCATGAAAGCTGGCTCAGGACAGAAATATCTTGCCCCCAGCCTGCCCGGTTCTGGCTCTGAGAGGGAGCGCAGGCTTCCTCCCTGCAGCTCGGCAGGAGCTGAGCTGCCCTAAGTGATTGAGCACCTCAAGGCCAAGCCCTCCTTCATCAGCTGGCAGAGAGCATCCTTGGACACATCGCAAGCCCAGGCACCATCAGGCAGCACTTTGGGACGTTCTGCCACAGCCCAGACCTCAGGGAGATCTGCCTAGTCCAGATCTCATAGCCAGGGTGTCTGACCCCCCTGCCCCAGCTGGGCACCAGCCTGCTTGGTCCAAGGGAGGATGTTGCGCTTGGTTGGACCATGCCTGAAAGCTGTTCCTGACATGCTTCTGCCCTTAAACACCTCCAGGCCCTCACCATAGGCAGCAGGGTTGCCTTTGCTCTTAGGCAAGTTGGCTCGCAGGATGGCGTTGTTGAGAGCGTTGAGGTAGGTAGGCATGCTGTGGTAGCCCTTGTTGTTGTAGAAGACCTGGAGAGGCAGAGAAGAGTGGCGGGAGGTAGCAAGAGAGCTGGGCTCGTGGCAGACATACTGGAAGGGAGGGATGGGATGGAACGGGACAGGACAGGACGGGACAGGACAGGACGGGACAGGGCAGGGCAGGGCAGG